TTTTTTTTTCATTTTTCATTATTATTTTTTATACAAACATCGTATATGTTTCTTGTCTTCCATATGTATTCTCAAAACAAGAAGTACATTTTAACTATCAGTTGCTCTTGTCTTGATAAACAAATAACACTGACATCTGACGGCTAGTATCACGATGCCAGTTTTCCGACTGGTAAAAAAGTTGCCAGGTTAGATTTTAATGAAACTTGATAGTCAATTTTCTCATGCGAAAAGCCACCTTCCATTGACGTGAATAAGTTGCACAGTTTCTGTGACATGAGATATCTAAAAATGTTAGTGTTGCTATGGCCAAAAAGTGACCAGTTGGCTGACTTCGTCGAGATCTACCTTGCTTCTTACTTCTGAATATCTTCCTACGCGCAGCCAGTGTATGACTGGTAAAAAAGTCGAAAACTCGAAAAGTCAAAAACTATAAAAGTCGCAAACTCGAAAAGTCGAAAACTCTAAAAGTCGCAAACTCGAAAAGTCGAAAACTCTAAAAGTCGCAAACTCTAAAAGTCGAAAAGTCGAAATATCCAATAGGGGCCACCATAGAGAAGACATGGACTCGGAGAAAAAAGCAGTTTTTCAAACAACATGGTAAGATGACATTTCTTCTTTAGCATTTGGGGCAGAGAATACTTCTAGAAATAATAGGCACATGATATGAAAACGTGTCACGGAACTTGTGTGGAAATGTGTGGAATTTCATGTCAGATGGACATATAAAGATCTAACAATTCGTCACATTATTAAAAAAAGATACATCTTTGCACAGCAGTCGTAGATCGGTACGATTCAGTTGTTAGTTACGAACTACTTCCTGGTTTTCACAAGGTCCTTCAAGAACTCTAAAACATCATTATAATTGCAGCACATACCATAAAACACCCAAAAATACTTAGATATGGACATATCAGATTATATAAATGTCAAAATTCTAAATGACAACGATTTATAGCCTCCCGGGAATTCCTTTCCCTTTACGCTCTTTGTCGCGCTGGCAGTCGATGCAGCATGTATTTCAAAACAAGTTGTCTGCAATTTAACCACGATTTTGCACCTTCAAGTTCCGTGTCACGTTTTCATATCATGTGCCTATTATTTCTACAAGTATTCTCTGCCCCAAATGCGTAAAGAACAAATGTCATCTTACCATGTTGTTTGAAAAACTGCTTTATTCTCCGAGTCCATGTCTTCTCTCCCGTTCACTTCCAGCTAAAAATGACCACTCAGCTTTACGTCTTACACCACTACACGTCACTTCCGGCACAATTCTGACCAATGCTGATCTTCTCCGATACCCTTTATTGCAGCTACTTTTGTAATTAAAAAACACGTCTTACATGTACAAACAATTAATCATTACACAATGTAATAGTTTTTACATTATACAAAAATAAAGAGTGCCCGTTAGGAATGTTTGGGTCAACATGCAACCTTTCATGTCACTGCTCAGAAAATTCATCTGTAGTATACCCACTGGTTATAGATGCCCTTCTGGGTGTCAAAACTACTGGAAAGGCTATAGATGTCATCAAGGTAAAAAGTACTTTTACATCAGTAAAACTGCCTGCTCTTGACTTCCTACTGTTAAATTCCTGGTATCTTATTTAATCTTTTTTTTATGTCAATCGATTTGTCGACAAACATGCGCAGTACTACTGTATCGATATGCAATTCACCACCTTATGTTGCACAGTATCAAATTCATGACTTGTAACAGGATATTCAAACATATTTGAATTTTAAACAGAAAGACCGCACATAACGCGTGCGCCCACGGTGTCCTCGAGAACAGTTCATTCTGTCACCCTGGCCTGGGACAGTTGGTCCCCGGAGAGGTACCCTGGAGTAGGGAGTGTGAACAGTTATAACATCAGTGCATGGAAAGATGGCAGCATCAGAAGTAGCAACAAGACCACGTCTGCGTCCACAACGTCGATGACCATTGGTCACCTAGCCGGATACACTGATTATAATTTCACTGTGACTATAGTGGATGAGGAAGGGCATAATGGACAGCAGAGCCCAAGTGTTACAAAACGAACATGTGGAGGTAATTAAGGATTATCATACGTACACGTGTTTTCGGTGCATAATTTATTGTTCTATTCTATTTCTATTTCTCTTTTCTGTCATTGTCAACATTGTTGTGTTAAGCTATTGTTTTCAAACTTGGTGACGAAGGCTTGGAATAAGTAGAAAATCCGTTAATAAATATTAATTGAAGTGCACCCGATATTTATATAGTTCCAGAATTGGTTCCGCCGCCCACTGTTGTTTCTGACGTAACAGGCCAGAAGACCACTGCTCAAATAAACATAACAACAAAGGTGTGTGTGTGTGTGTGTGTGTGTGTGTGTGTGTGTGTGTAGCATTTATTAATATGTTCAAAAAAATCAACCATATATATACAAGCACACGAGGAAAATAATTTCACTTTTATATCCAAGCTTTTGCTAAGGGAAGAGGGGTAGTGGTATTGGTGGGCATTTTTACTATTTACATTTTTACTGTCATATATAGGGTGCAGGGAAGGAAAACTCGCCAAGCTTTTACAAGTTTACGATTATCGTATCTTATTTGGGAGGGAAAAGGGTGGAATGGGGGTATCTCCAAAGCAAATATAAATGTAGGAGGGAGTCCCTGACCCACTGTTCTCCGCCTGGTTCAGGCACTTAATTTTCTATTTGTGTTATGTAAATATGTGAATAAAGAAAAAGAATTTAATTTTAAAATCCCACAAAATAAATATTTGCGAACTATTCAGAAACAGATAGTAAGAGCTGACTTTATCGTTGCAAATGTGTCAAAGTAAGCTTTTATACTGTACGTGTATTTTAATACCAAAAATATTTAAAACTTTAAATTTAACCCAAAGGCAAAGATATACTTGGATGATGTATTTCAGGATATGACTGAAGCGGTTCACAGATGTGATGGATTCTCACAACTAAAACTGAGCTACGAAGGGGAGTATGGGGATAATCAAACAGTAGAAATGACAGATGTGCCTGTATCAAAAGATTTCACCATAGATAAGCTTATTCCCTACAGTAATTATACAATCAACATATCGGCGGTGAACAATCTGAACCTTGAAGGACCAATGCTGAAGATGTATACCTTCACACCGGAAGGGGGTAAGTACACATAGACAAGGTTCTTGCATTTTTTTATATTGGAGAGTTGGTTCGAAGTCGATTGATTATGGAATGGAGCACATAAATACCACCACAATATTGACACAAAAAATTAATTTTCACAATTTTGTGGTAAATTTATGTAAAATTACTCTAATTTTCCAAACGTTGTTGAAGGCTTACATAGAAAGTTCGCTGGAATTTTGTGAAATAATGATGGAACTATATACATTATGTGTTTTTAAATTTTAAATAACGTGATATAATAATAGCAACCTTATCGGCAGCGTTAAAAACGCAAAACACCCAAACCCGTGTTGGGGGTGGTCGCCTCATGCCCTAGTTAGATTCCACTTTACCAAAATAACACGATTCAGAGCTGGGCCTCCGAGGACGTGTGTTTTGACAGCGCCCCTTGCAGAGTTGAGAGCGGCTTTTGGAGTGTGTTAGGCTTCTCGCCTTTATTATGAGGAAAGATACCCAGCAGGCAAACGACATTGATTCTACGTTGATTCAACTCTGATCCACCAAAATTAACGTTGATTCAACGGTGAATCAATGTCGTTTGTCTGCTGGGTAGTCTCTGATAGGAAGGTAGGTGTCTCGCCTACATAGTATGAGATTTATAGATACCGATATACATTGGTTGCCCTGAAAAGGGCATTTCGTGTTTGGCACGATAGAGGCATCTCGCCTGTCGAGGGAAGGGGGAGGGTGGACTGGTTGCAGAAAGCGCTTTTCGGTCAACAAGTGACCTTCATCAGCCGCAGAGTCCGAGATGGAAAAAAAAAGAAAAATTCAGGGACGTATGGGGTTGGTAAGCAAAGGTGCCTCGCCCTTGTTCAGTGAGTTTTCATCAATGGTGTCTCTCCATTGTGAATGATACGAGCCATCTCGGCTTTATCGTATCATACCTGATCACAAGTGTCTCGCTTGTGTCAAGTAGGATGGGTATCTAGAAACACCGTTCAGATGCTGTACATGTATCTTGTTAAGGAGTTCTCCTCCACAACAAAAGGGATACGAGCTGGACGGTATGAATTGAGCGTGTGAATGGCTCAAGAGTCGGAGGTCGTGTTGGGGGTGGTCGAATGAAAAATATGGTAGAAAGAAAGGAAAATTTAGCAGGTTTGGATCAAAAGCAGAGCACCGCGTTTGCGCCGAACATTTCGAATGCGGGAAAAAAAACCTACATGTATAATATTACGAGATCAACGGTGTTTAAATAAAAACCAGAAAAGTTATTCAACGGATCTAACAAAGTATAGGCAAATAAAACTCGGGGGAAAACAATGCGCGAAAAAAAAAATAAATAAAGATCTGAAGAAAAAATTGAAGAATAGGGGCCTAAAAAGAAAGAAAAGTCTTTAAGCATGAAGTTATGGAAAAAGAAACTAAAAGCTGTTAAGTTTTACACGGGGTTTTCTACTTAAAGAATTCAAAAACTTTCACGACTTCTTGTATAACAACAAAGAGAGGGTTTGGAAAGTTTTATATGTAATATCCTTTTTTTATGTGTTTTATTGATAAGTGATAATTTCAAATGTAGTATCATAGGTTTTAGTCTCTCATAACCTTTAGTATGGTGGGTTTTATTTTTTAACGTGAGATGTTAATAAAATGATTATTATTATTACGTATGTATCCAGTCCCGTATTACTGATGTGTACAAACGGGGCTCATATTATCAAGATCAACAAAGACATACGAAGAAAAAAGTACATGGGCTCTTGTTGAACGCGTTATAGGCAAAATAAAAAGTTATTTATTTCTGAACTCAATGACAAGTGAATTGGAAAATTTAATGGACATATAGTGTTATTTAGAAAATGCAGAAAAGCCTTTCTGTAAGCTATACCTGCATAATACATGTATTGTAAAGACATAAAATGGATAATAAAAATAATCTAACAACGTATTTGTAAAGTAATACAAATATGCTAAGTATTAAAGTACGGATTTATAACAGTTGAAAACGTTGAAAAGTATGAAATGTATGGAAAACACTTTACTTGAATGATTTTATTGTCTATGATTGAAAACGATGAAAATACGCATGAAAACATTTAAAAATCAAATAATTTGGCATCTTGCTATAATTTTGTTTCGGTCTGACGGTTTTGTTTCAGTTTGACAAAATTTTCACACTTGTCAGACTGAAAGTCTGACATTTTTTACCTGTCGTAAATTTTGTACATATGCTAGTGTAAGACACGGTAAACAGTGTATTTATCGTCTGGGAAGGAGTCGAAAATTCTTGTCTCACCTATTTAACACACAAAATTAAAATGTTTTAATTACAGAGGAAAGATCGTAGTTGTGGCCGCCCCTCTTACCGAACAATTGAACAAGTAACACCTGATGCCTTATCAGGTACCAAATGATTTAATCAGTTAACCGACGAACAATCTGCGTGACAGTTTTACCTGTATACACAGTAGGTACGAGTCAAGCAATGCAGGGAATCTTTTCATTTTATTATTTCAAAAATCTCTGAAGACATCCTTCAAAAAGACATAAAAATCGTAATGAATTGATACTACCGGTACATGTACACATGACAGTAAATGAAGTGATATCGCCACAGCTTGCATATATACATGTACATGTAATAATATTGTGAAGTACGCATCTGTCCATACACAAGAAAGCTGTGTACGAGTTTACTGGCTATTTTGATTTAATCTAAAAATATATAACTTGTCTCTTTCGCATATCTTTATTGTCGGAAGCATTTAAAAGAACTCAGAAGCTATAGTTCGTCATCTCTAAAGAAAGTGCAGCCAAGGCTCGGACGCTTAGGTGAAGTCTAGTTGTACAGTGCATCGTATTTAAACTGAGAAATAAAGCATTTAATTGTCCAAATAGCTGTTTTCTTGCCTACAGTTGACGCATTTCTGTGCTTCAGCCACCTTTTTAGTTTGACAGAAAGCAGTGCACGCTTCAAACGGCTTTTTTATATGCGCACCCTGTACATCATCTACACCTAGCAGTGCCATGCTGGAAACAGCAGAGGACTACAATGACCCCTGTGGCGCGCGGTTCCTGTCACGCGCACTTCTTATTTCTGCAAAAGATGAAAAAGGTCAATATAGAGATGCAATTGATGTCACAGGTATGCTCTTAAAAACATTTAGTGCACAGATTGTAAACTATGTCTGATTATTTTAGGGTCCCACGTGAAGAAGTTTATATCAAAGTTTCACTCTCCTGGAACCATGATTAATAAAAAATAATTCAACTTCTATCCCCAAAAAGGAACAAAGCCTACCCTGTACGTTACTGTCACAAATGCAAAATGTTCAACTATGAAACGTTTTACGCACTTTAAAAATTCAATCATCACTGGTTTTTGTGCTTGGATTTATCTCCTACAAGTATGACATTGTAAAGAATTGTATAGAGCAATTAATTGTCTTTGAGCAACTTAAGTTTGCCTGTGACTGAATATTAAAAAAACGTGAAAAATACACCCTACCGACAGTAAAATAAGCATTGAATAAATTATTTTCCCCTCGTGCTCCAAATATTATATAGGAAATGTCAAACTATCATGGAATCACAATATATTTTTCGGTAAGCAAAAGAAAACATTGTTTACTCTTGCACCAAGTACTTAAACAAAATGAAACATTGTAACACTTTTTCTAGGGAACATACGTTACCTAGTATTAGCCATGACGCAAAGCACCTTGAGTTATAGTTTTAATATTTATAAAAACGTCCTGACGTCATGTCTAATTTACCATGACTGATCCACTACAAAATATATCGGAACGCGGTATAAAAATTAAAATTCAATGACCCGGTACATACGTTACCGTACGTTTTTGGAACATACGTTACTATTTAGGGCTCTTTGCGTAATGTAAAAGACATGTTAAAAATTAAAATTTGAATTTAAATTGAGACAGTCGTGGATTTTTGATCTATACACATATATGTTTTAAAAATTGAATACAACTTTGAATTCATTCAATTTTATTTTTTGACACTTCAACATGTGAAATGCACCTCTATATTGGGTTTGGGTGAAAAGTGTCCTCTCTATTTTTATAGTCCCACCCAAAATGACACCACCTGAAGATGTAAATCGAAGTCACAATTCCATTGATTTGCGATGGGAAGCACCACGACCTCCAGGAGGAATCATAATAGAGTACAATATATCTTACGGCATGGGAGAGTACAACTGGGAGAATTCACTGAAATTAAACGCCAACACTTCTTGGGAATCTGTAGGCAACCTTAAGTATAACACGAAATACTGGTTTCGGGTAAGGATATACTCAGTAGTATAAGCAGTGGTGCTCGTTCTATATCCGTCTTAGACTGGGTTCCCACAGATTTAGATCGATCCATCTGGATCGACCTAACTCCCTGGGGGTTCACGCTAAATTGATGTCAGCTTCCGAGAGCCGAGCGCGCACAAAAGTTAATTACCCCCTTACAGCTTTAAGGGTGCTTTCCCAGAGATTTAGATCGATCTAAAGATTAAGATTTAGATCGACCTAACTCCCTATGGGTTCACGCTAAATTGCAGTCAGCCGAGTGGGCACCATAGTTAATTACCCCCTTACAGCTTTTAGTAGGCGGGACAGACGCTTAAGCCGGCCAAGCTGACAGTAATCTAGTGAGACTCCCCACAGGGATAGATCGATCTAAAAATCTATGGATATGGGGTGTTAGTAGCGGGACATTTAAGCCGGTTAAGCTGACAGCAATCTAGTGAGACTCCCCAGGGGGGATAGATGGATCTAAATATCTGTGGGAATGGTCTCTTAGTGCGTTTCTTTAATTGTATCAAAATGTGACAAACTATTGTTTCTATGATGCGAAGTCTTGTATTATTCCGTATCATATAATTGATGTCGTTGGACCGTCGTATATAACGCTGTGGGTATTTCTGTTAAGAAAAAAACATTTGAAGTCGGCTGGTATAGTTCCCACCTTTACCTACCTATTGTAGCGTCTAATTTCACCTTCTGTGTTTAAGATCCGTGCAAGTACCAAAACCGGCGACGGAGAATATAGTGACGCTCTTCAGGCTAGAACTGTAGAAGGAAGTAAGTAAGCCTAACTTAAATACACTTTAAAGATAACACATTACAATTTTTAAAACGTATTGACTTTCTTAAACTATTCTTACTATAACTATAGTGTCTTTATAATCTTAATGTTAACCATTTAATGGTGTCTTTATTTAAAGAGCCAGGACCTCCAACTAATTTTACCAACACAAGTAGATCAGATACATATTTGGAGTTTTCGTGGGACGAACCAGTTATCAGGAATGGAGAAATGACGGGCTATAAGGTAAGCGGAAGAGTTCTATGTAATTTGTCTAGGGCAATAATAATCAAAACCCTTTTTTATTTATAATTTTGTTTATCATTATTTTTTACATTTTGTGTCGTTCCTACGTCGCCTCTTGGTACAAAGATTGTGATTCAATGTTATCTCGGAATTTATTTTAGATTAAATGTTCTGTTGATGACAAGAACATGCCAGAAGAAGTCACCATGTCAGCAAGAAAATACGATGTTAGAATTAATAAGTTGATGTCAGGAACGCGGTATTTATGTAGGTTAATGGCCAAAACATCAGCAGGGTATGGGGATTCTTCACAAGTTATCACATGGACAAAGCCAGCGGGTAAGTAGATGTGCGTCTTACAGTACGTGTAGGTACAGTACATTGCATCTATATTAATCATTTGGATTGAAGATAACCGAGCAATCGAGTCCTACCGGTATAATATAATATATTATAAAAACCCTGATTTATTTTTGATATTTGTGACATTAGTGTCCAAGTACAATATTTGTTTATTTATCTTTGCAGTCCCAAATGATATTGAAGTGACCCCAGTATCGCAAAGCATATTGCAAAGAACAATATCGAGTATAACTGTCAAGTTGCCAGTCAAGCACTATGGGGAAATGTATAAGTATAGGTAGGAAAAAATTAAACTTAATATTACTGCCGTTGCATTTTTAAATAGAATTCATTGTGATTCTGAGAGGATATTTTCATGACAAAAATATACCAATATAAAACGTAAATGCATAAACATACAGAGATGATCGCTGCTATAGCCAATTGACATCCAATGATACGAAGAACCAATAGGCAAACTTATATATATTACCCTTTATTAAATGATTTTCTACGATAGGATTGTAGTGGAGAAAGAGAGTAAAGAGAATGCTTCAGACCTAAACGACTCCAAAATCCATAGACTTGTTTCGTGCCAGTCTGTGACAGACACCGACCAGTTGCTGTGTGTGGCGGCTGAACTAGGTACTGATGACCTTGGGAGGCCGTTTACTGTTGGAGATAATAAAACATATGGAGGGTATTATAACCGGCCACTGGAGGAAGGGAAATCTTACAATATATATTTTGGTCCCGTACAAACAGTAGATGGGGTACGTACTTTTTAAGTGGGGTAGCATCTGTTAGAATATTTCTTATTGTCTATTTGTAGTATGCATGGTACATGTAGAACTCTAAGTTGAAGACCCATACATTTCCTTTGTTAAGATGATATTACATTAGTTGCAAACTATATTGAAAAAGTAATAATTTCTAATATTCTGTCTTTTCCATCTGTAGATCACGGCCCAAGCCTATGCTGCTTTAGTGAAGGGTGTTATACCACAGAAAGACGACAAAAGTAAGTATTAAATAGTCTTTAATAAATGCATTTTGCATACAATAATGTCAAGAAAAAAGCGTAAATGAATAAATAAATTTATCATCCATAAGCAGTATCTTAATGAAATGTAAATGTAAAGAACATAGAGAAATAAGACCATGAACACATTCTAGATCCAGACATCGCTGGCGCTGTTGGAGGAGTTGTTGCAGCTGTATTGGTGGTGGCAGGTTTGGCTATAGCAGTCTGGGTATACATGAGGTAAATATGTGTTGTATAAAAAGGATTGTCCACAATACAACTACATGTACATGTAGACTGTATGGGACCCAGGAAAAGTCTGTGTGATAAACTGATTTTTTGTCATTTAATTAAATAAATAAAACTAAATATTAAAAATGATATTTCTGATAAACTGATGAGCGACAGTGCTTTAATATCTGAGAACTCACTGCAAATTTAAAACTTTTAAAAATCATTGAAACTGTTAGTAGACAATGCATATAATTGTCGCCTGCATCAACTCAATATTCAATAAATTTGTTAGAAGGCAGAGACTGGGAAGGCAAAATCCAGATAGTGCGCCTGAACCAAGAATGTCACTTATGGAGCTGGAGAAACGCGTTAAAGGTATATAGAACCTCTTGAGAGCGTAGAAGTATGATCACAAAATGTATGTTCTTAGTAGGATCAAGTCAGTTCTTATAATCGATATATCACATGTCTGGTTTAGGTGCTTTTCAAGCGAACACACTAGATATTTATAATATAATAATAATAATATATTTATTTAAAGTCTAAAATCCATAAAATATGTTCTGTAGACTTTACAAACTAAAAACTAAAACACAGTAAGATGGATTGAATTAATAAAATTATGACCTAATAGTCTGAGTTAAGATAATGATGTCCAGTTAATATTTCCGAGTTATAAAATGTTCTTTAATAAAATTTGTTAAAAAGGTATGTTTTTAAAGCTTTTTTAAAATCCTGCACTGAGCTAATGCTTCTCAAGTCTACAGGTAATTTATTCCACTCATGTGGTGCCGCGTACTGGAATGATTTTTCGCCAAAAGATTTTAGTCTTGCGTTCTGTGGTTTTAGTAATAATTGATCCTTAGATCTTAAGGTACGATTTGGTGTGTAATGAGATACAAGATTACAAATAAAATCTGGTGAAAGTCCATAAAGGCCCGCATGAGCATGAGTTAAAAGTTTGAATAAGATCCGGGCGTTTACAGGTAGCCAGTGAAGTTGTTTTAATATCGGTGTCATGTGATTCTCCATAGAAGTTCGGGTAAGAACACGTGCTGATATATTTTGAATGCGTTGGACTTTCTTTGTTCTTTCTATGCCGCATCCATAAAGCAAGGAGTTACAGTAATCAAGCCTTGATGTTACTAGGGAATGAATGACCGTGGCAGTGGCAGAATCTGTTAAATTATTTCGTAGGGAACTGATGTTTCTTATGTGATACAAACAAGATTTTTTCACATTGGCTATCTGCTTGTCCATGTTTAAAGTAGTATCAAAATACACCCCCAGGTTCTTTTTTTTGTTTTATAATCTTACCACAGATAACGAACCTTCAGAACGCCCGCTGTCGGAAAATTCATATATGGACAATTTCCTAGAGCCTTTGTACGGCAACGTGGAACAGGGCACCGATATACCAGTAGGCGAAATCTTCGCAATAATGAAGACTAAAAGTAGGGATACATTGAAAGCGGAATATGAGGTAGGATACTGCTTACATGTATTTCTACATCTTCAATCCTATAACAGTCGTTTATACTTGAGTAAATGGTATCCCAGAGTACTTTGGCCAATATTAACTACAGGGGTATTGAATTTTTCTACAAGATACTCGATAGGCATTGTAATAGCTTTCCCCTTTGGTTTATGCAAAAATTTGTCTTATTCTGTAGAAATTCCCTACAGTATTTACTGCGAAATGTACAGTGGGTCAGAAGCCGGAAAATCACACGAAGAATAGATTTAAAAACATCATGGCCTGTAAGTAGACCAAACGCACTTATTTTGTATATTTACAAAAAAAATTATTAGGCATATTATTTGTTGTTAATAATTGATACGTAGCTGAAATTCAAACACTTCAGTGCTTTCTTCTAATCATTCACAAGAGGAATATTTTGTGGAATCTTACAGGTATAATTTTGTAAAATGTTAAATTCTGTAAATAAGTCAATGATAGTGTCTCTGTTACTTGCTATTACAGATGACCACTCCCGAATCGCACTGACTCCACTCCCGGATGATCCTCATTCCGATTACATCAACGCTAACTATATCGACGTAAGTGAATAGATGTGCTTTTGCAACTAAAATGGTTCTATTTGTAACATATGGTTGTATATTAGAAAAAAAAAGGTTATTTTATTTCTGATCTCTAATCGACTAGAGGATCAGCACACATATACTAGTACTAGTATCTATTGTTTTACAAATTAAAATACCAAGGGATATATTTCAGTGGTATATTTTATGTTTTCTTTCATATTATTTTCTGTTACAGAGTTACAAGAAGAGCAAAGCATTTATTGCCGCTCAAGGTAGGTGATTAAAAGTTTATATCATTTCTTCTCATTGTTGATATTGTTCAGTATTCTTATGAACTGTCTTTCAAAATTTTCTGTCGTTTTTACATCATTCATATCATAATATGACTGCCTTATTGTAACCAAAATTAAATAATTAAATGTTTGCTTAAATTCATTAGGTCCGAAACCAAACACAGTGAACGACTTCTGGCGAATGATCTGGCAGGAACATACACCACTGATTGTAATGGTGACGAACTTGGCAGAAAATGGCAAGGTATATTTTCAACCTCTTAATGGATTAACGCTTGTTTGTAATTGTATTTATGTTTGCTTCCGCCAAGGAGGTTGTTTTCTTCTCCGTTTGCCTGTTTGTTTGTTTGTTTGTTCGTCACCAGTCAATCAATAGCAACATGACCTGTCTTTAACTCCGTATGCCACAAATGCACCAATCAAATACATACTCAGTGATGTTATGCGACCAAGACTATGCACGCTTTACTAGATTTAGGGGTGTTTGCCAGTCCTTTCTCTTGGTATGTATGTCATATTATACACTGCCTCCCTCTTGCGATATGTGCCATGAACACCGCACCCTGATGCTCCCCTTGGTGTTCTGGCATATATCACTAAGGTGGCAGTATATTATCTCACACAGGACTTGACTCTATCTCAGTACTTAGATTAATAGTTAATTAATTAAAAGTAATGAGAACTGAATTGTCTCTGAGTGCTTTTTTCTAGCTGTACATAGTATTAGTTAACAAAAGATTACTGCATTATGCATTATTTTCGTTTCTAGGCGAAATGTGCTAAATATTGGCCTGATAAAGGCAGTGAACGCTTCGGCATAGTATCTGTGACTTTGAAGAAAAAAGAAACTCATCCTGATTTCACTGTGCGGACGCTGCTTATGTCTGTGGTAGGTCAGCAAATATTCAATCTCTAGGAAATAAAACTAAATCCACGTTTTAAATTTTCATCTAGCGAAATATCTAATTCTTCTCAGCTTCAATGATATACAGGACTCTACATAAAACAAGTCGGTGGTAATTTGATGTATTTTAACCAATTATTAGATACCTATAATTTGTTTCAGTCCAATTCCCCCACAAAGACGGTAAGACAATTCCATTTCACTGGCTGGCCTGACCACGGAGTCCCCGTAGACGCTTCAGCGTTGGTGCGGTTCCGAGAGGAGGTCAAAAGTTATCAGAGAAAGGTGGAAGGTCGGGGTCCCACCATAGTCCATTGCAGGTGGGGAGAGTATTTTGTATTTGAACGTAAAATTTCTTCGAACTATTTCATATAAGGCCCGTCTGCCAAGTGTAAGCGCTGAAGAATCTCTAACTTTTTTTCTGTTTAATTATTTGAAATCTTCTAATAACATTGTTTTAGACCAGCTATTTCCCTTGATATCAACATGGGCATACTTAGAAGCATGAATGTTGTCAGTAAAAAATCCTATAATTTTAAAGTTCTTTATTACTAAACAAGTTTACTTTTAGAATTGAAATTTGGATTATTTTCACAATACAGTTGTAGTCCTACAGTGTTTTTACACTGAAAATGTTTTAAAAGTAGGCCTTTATATCTGTATTTCACCATTGCTTAATTTCTCCAATAGTGCCGGTGTTGGTAGGACTGGGACTTTCATCGCTCTGGACTACCTGTTAGACCAAGCTGAGGTTGAAGGGAAGATCAATATATTCAACCTTGTTCAACAGATGAGAGGTTCACGTCCGATGATGATACAAACTGAGGCTAGTTTACACTGAATCATAATATCACCCTAACTTTTATCAGTATGATTTTTTTATTTTCGGTACAAAGCATTTTGTACTCACTCATTAAAAATGCCTGCGTAATTAACAAAATATGTTAAGCTGTTCATCAATCTGCACATACTGTAATCTTTTTAATGGGAAAAAATTTCAAATTTTACAGATACTGTATTTTTTAAAGTCATAATTTTTCGAAATTAGAACATTCCTACTGAGTGGTAGGAACAAAACTGAAAAGAAGGCCACCTTGTATCTCTATGCTATACAGTTTAAGTACCAATAATGCCACACAAAAATATATTTTAGTGATTCCAAAATTATATATCTGAAAGAGAGATAATGCCCCCCCCATTGAAAAGAACGAGTAATTACCTTATACAACTGTAGCTTGCTGGTAAAATTAAAAAACAAGTTTTTCTGTATTTTTATGTTAACATGATAAAATTTTCAAACTTAGGAGCAATACTACTTCGTCCACGACGTCATGTTAGAGGAGCTGTTCTGTGGAACTACGACAATTCCTGTACAGGAATTACAACCATATCTACATCGACTTGATCAGGTGGACAGTAAATCCGGCCTGTCAAAATTAGAGGGAGAGTTTGCTGTGAGTGTATATATGAAAAATTAATTTCTCTGTTAAAGGACATAATGTTCATGACCTTAAAGAAATTAAAATTGAAAATAATAAAAAAAAATGAGCGAGCAAAGAACAAATGATATTATTAAAGTTGCTTAAAGAATTAAAATTTCACAGATTTTAATTTTATTCTCAATTCTATTCAATCTGTCCCTTTACTGATGCATAGATTTGTATGATGTCGTCCATTGTCGTATTTGATACACATTTTGCAAACACATTTTTACGATGGTGCCATGAATTTATGAACCAAAATGTTTTTCATGCTATATACACTGTACATGTAGCCTATATATAATGGCCGACAAGAGTCCTAGTGTGTTTTGATCTATGTGAGATTTTATGGTTTGTTTTAAGGTCCTTCAATACATGTTTGTTGGATCTGATGACACAAACAAAGCAGCATTGGATCCAGCCAATGTGAACAAAAACCGTGTCAGGAACATTACCCCAGCAAACGGATGCAGACCATATCTCTCCACGCCGGTAGATGGCGGCACTGACTACATCAATGCTGTCTTCATAGATGTAAGCCAGCACATGACATAACAATCCGTCATATTTGTATAACGTTGATTGAAGATACTAGTTCAAAGGAGAATTTATTTTTACATTTAAAGATGGACATGACTCTTGAAATCAAATTCATAATTAGTACAACGATGAACAAGATGCGATTTTGTAATGACTTAATTATTGGTATTTCTTCTTTCTCCTTGGAATATGCTGTATAGGTGAGCAGAAATTTCCTATTCTTAAGATAGATAAACATTTTTAAAACACGTATAAGTTTATTAAACCAATGATTTAAATCTATTTTATTCAACATCGCGTCTTCTTCACTCCAGGGCTACCGCCAGGGTGATGCCTACATCGTGACACAGATGCCTCTACCAGATACTGTGGTGGACTTCTGGAGAATGATGTATGATCACAATTCTGCTACAATAGTCATGATGAATGAAGGAACCAAGATGGATAAGGTATGCTTGACCTATTAGTTTTAACTTATATACATGTATATACAATAAAAATATATGAGGCTTATAATTGAGGCATGAAAACATTCGTTCCATGTAAGTGTTTTTGTTATAGTAATGGAAAGGTGTCAAGATTATTTTCGTTTTCCCAATATGTTGCTATAGGCTGCATCCAGAAGATAAAACTATCCATTCATCGTTTTAATTATATACTTGATGTTGCTGTAGACTTCCGTCTGTTTTAAGTAGAATGATGAATTAATGGTTCAGTCTTATATATATATATATCGGTAGCGAAAAGATGCAAATATATAAATACACTGTAGATATACAACATCGATGGTAAACCACCAATTTTATTTCATGATTCATTAATTTTCTAAATATGACGTTAATTTTTTTCATCTAGGCTCAAGATCACATTGCTTTATTATTTATTTACTTATTTATCTTTATAGACAGCCGCTGTGTACTGGCCTGAATCTGGCTCAGCGACATATGGACCTTTCACAGTGGAAGTGCTGTCTACATATAAGAGTGGGGATTCTTGTATTGTAAAGGAATTTGAGCTGAAAAATATAAAACGGGTATGTCACCAAAGCATATTTGCGCTCATGCTTCCCATTTGAACAAATATTTTATTTCTGTATTTGTAATGTATGATTGTTCTCCAAGTTTAAGCTGATACCAGGATCAAATACTCACTGTATTGTAGGCTATCTAGAAGACTGCGATTACATAGGCTCTTTTCTTTGAGACTGCGATTACATAGATTTCTATGCTATACAGCAGTTATTAGTAGGAGGATTTCACGGCAACTGCCTGATATGAGAGAGAGAGAGAGAGATGCACTTAGCTTCATCTTGTTCAATTGTGTAATTCCAGACGAAAGAAGAGCCGCGCAAGATACGCCAATTCCAGCTCCAAGGGTGGAAGACATCGGACCCCACGCCGTCCTCAACAGAAGAGCTCTTAGAACTACTAGATGAAGTACAGCGCTGGCAACAGCAAAGTGGGAACACAACCATTACTGTGCACTGCATGTAAGACTTTATTGAAAATGAAATTTAAAAAATGAAATTTAAATCAATTGATTCACTGGTAATAATTATACAATAATTATACATTTTAATTTTCAATTGATTCATTGGTAATAATTATACAATAATTTTACATTTATTTTATTTTATTTTTATTTTATTTTTTTAGGGAAAAATTTCTTCAGTTAGTATTTAATTGTACTATACCAAACTATACTTGACTGCGTCCCTTCAGTCCTGCCCATACAGTCCTTGTTATTATTTCCACCATGCATTATTTTGTACACTGCATTTTTATACTAATAATATACTGGGTGCAATTTTAAGCCATTTCCACAATGTTTTGCTTTTTAAACATACCTACATGTATCTTTCTCGTCTGTAAGAAGACATTTATTTTCATTTTAGGAACGGAGCCCACCAGAGCGGCGTTTTCTGTGCCGTGTCCAGAATATTAGAGAAGATGAAAGTGGAACAACAGGTGGACGTGTTTCACACAGTCAAAGCCGTGCGAATCAACAGACCACAGTTCATAGACAGTTTGGTACGTGAATATACCCTTATATCCATAGAATCCATTAAAGTTATGTTCATAAGCGAACCTAGTTCACTTGCAGTGTTTTAATGATAATGTGTTACAGGAGGAGGTCAAAATTTTCAGATGACTCATGCTTGCAGGGTGTTTCACACAGTTATTAATTATTATATTAATGACATTATGTACTTATTCTTTAATTATTCATTTATCAGGTACGTTTTTCTTTTCTGTCTTTTCAGGCCCAGTATAAATTTTGCTATACTGCAGTTGAAGAGTACGCCAGAAGATTTGACACCTATGCCAACTTTCAGATATAACGGATATATCGGAATGCATTGCACATATAATTTACGTTTATATATCAAATCTGTACGCACAGTGCATGTATGTTTGCACGCTAAAATATGTTTCTGTACAAACAGGGTTCATACGCCGGAGGATTCTGATAATTTTGGTCATTTGGTCATCGATCATGCCCTAAAAGGGACGTCCCTCTTGTTTATAAACTGGACAAAGTGGGTAGTGATGGACAGTGCCTTTATTATTTCATGCATATTATATATTCAGGATATGCCCCATTTACATTTCTTGTGTTTTGATAGATAATAATTTTACTGCTTTATTTGATATAGCTACATGGTATACTCAACATAATACAAGCACAAGTACTATATCCTATTTTTTGACATATATACTTGGTGTTCGAGTCATTAGGTATAGATTTCCGCCATGTAAATGACGTGTAGACATGATGACACTTTCATAATATATCATCTGGACGTTTGTGGTGCCGACTGTCTGTAGGAAACAATATGTATAAAATTTATATTATTTAGTAACAATTGTTCATTTGTGCGGTATTGATATTGACAAAAATTAAGGTACGTGTTTGGGATATAGCTAAAAAAAGAAAAGAAAGAGAGAAAGAAAAAATTGATATTTACTAAACCCTCAGAGGGTTTAGTAAATTGATATTTACTAAACCCTCTGAGGGGGGTGTTTTATTATAGACGATATACTGTAGACGTTGAACGACGAAAGACTTCCTGGTTGTATGGACGGTCATTTTTTTAGGTAAACCATTTTTATTTTCATAATAGCCAACTTTAGAGTATTTAACCAATATTTGAGAATGCTTTATGCTTGGAATACAAATCGTAATCCTTGGTTGTAGGGAGTCACTTTACCCTATGTCATTTATTTCAAAATTTGGATGGGTGACTTGATATGACTGTTTGTAAAATGGTATTGGTACATTATGTAGATGGTACAAAAAAAACTATATAATATAATGCTATATAATGGACAAAATAGCTCTCTAATTGTATTTTCACAGGGTGTTTGACTGTTAAAAAACGTGTACGACACATATTTTTGGATTGAGTAGTAGTAATAGTAACTTGGCACAATGGTCCTAAGTAAGTATTCGTACCCCTTGTACACCTTGTAATTGGTCAATAGCATACTCATTTAAAATTACATCTATATTGCCATTTTTTCATCCACCCAGGTGGATGCATACATGTACCTGTAGATACGTTAAATACATTTATCCAGAATATAATTATAGTTACATGTAGTTGTACTGTTCGGGTGGTGTTGTGAGTCTCGTGTGGGTTGTTGTGACGTTCGTGTGTGGTGTTGTGACCCTTACACGCTTCCGTAACTCTGGACACTACTTGTTCAATATTTATTTTGCCTGCGATATATTATCATTGTCGGTAGTTCGAGAAACGCATTTACTAATGATGTAAAATATATCTGTTTTCTTGTCATTTATTTTACACTTTAATATCCACAATGAAATTTTGTGAAAAATACATATAAATGTCACGAAAAAAGCCTAGCACGGCAACTCAAGTGAGCCGCCACATTTCTATCTCAACAAGCGCAGTCATAAGCACAATCATTTAAACTCACAATACAATGGCAGACAACTGCTCCATAGTGGCTTAGAAGAAGAAAACTAGCCTCAAAGAGATGATTCTTT